ATATATGATATATGATTTATAGTGGTAGAGCCAAGCGGCAGCTGTTGCTGTCGCACGGATGGGCCGGCTCGAACCGGGGTGGTACCACGACCTCACAGAAAACCAGCGTGAAGTAGAGGTTTGCCTCTGCGTTTCGCTTGGTGAGTGCATGTGGCCGGAGGCCCTTTTTACTGGAAATGAGGCATTCCATCTTAGTCCTCACGGGTGACAACGCATCTACATTTTGATTTGTAATAGAGGATAGATGTAGATGTCTATGGGCCGCAGCAACCACTTACCATCAGGTGGACTGTGTGCTCGTTTGTCACCCGTATCCTATAAATAAAAAAAAAAATAAATAAATAAATAAATAAAACCATATGTCTATTTCTTATACATAAGCCATAATTTGGTATTTTGTGACAAAAAAAATATTGAAAATTTAAAAGTGATATATGAGCGTTAATATTAGGCATGGCCTATTTATCCTTACGAACGAAAGTTACTTCATCATCTAGACAATTTTATGAAGATAAACTTTGTTCTTTATACCATGTTATTTGGACGCATGGTTTAAGAGATAATGTAAAATTAAAATAATTCAATACTTAGCTGGGCGCGCGAACGACGCTTAAACCCTACGTTATAAAATGCTTCAACTAGGTCATGTCGCGCACCTCGGACACGTGAAGACGCGGGTAAAACCGCGGGGCACAGCTAGTATGTTTATAAATTCTAACGCACTAAAGAAACAAAAAATTTACATCATTATCAAATACCTACTAAAAACTTACGTACGTTATTAAGATTTTTGTTTCATTTTTATACTAAATGTTAAACGGATTGAGGTATATCATTTAACAAAAGATCATTTTTAAAAATAAGCAAGAACAAAGACTTGGCATAATATATTTTACCATTTTTCATTCATATTGGTTGTTGTAATCTACAGGATTTGACAAACGTATTATCTTTAATACAAAGAAAAGAATTGTCAACATCGTACGTGTGTGTGTGTACACGTGAACAAATTTATCAAAAGGCATGATTTTAATTTTAATAATAGTGGGTGAGTATCATCAGGTTATTTGAAAATCATTGTAGGAAAAACAAATTTTATGGGAGTTCTTGCAATAATAGTTTTATAAATAAAACTTGTATTAAAAAAATCCAACTATTAATAATCTAAAAAAAAATATTGAATTTAATAGCCTGTGTTGTTTTCTGTAGCTAGTTAACAGCTTGTATTGTCGTACCGTCATGATGTGGACTTTATTCCATTTTTCTATGAAATGGTATGTAAGAGTTATGTTATGGGTTTGTTTAAGCATCCATTAATACGTAAGTGTGTAAGTCTTACATTAATGTCCACGTTAAATATACTATTACCAATATTAATATAATTAGTTGGTATGTAAGATAACCACATAGTTCTCAAAAATTTCCCAGGCATGATTCACCAGACTAAGCGTCTGATGGTAGGTAAATGCCGGGGCCCGAAAACTATATAGCTACTATCGTATTTTAACTCTATTTATGAACCGATTTCTCAGAACATTAAACTTGATTTGTTTATCATCTGCGAACGATGTGATCCAAACCTGGTCCTAAGCATTAGGTCTATGTATTGCCAATTGAAAAATTTTGTACATCCAATGAAAAACATAAAATTATACGTATCATTTACGCTATATGATGTTTACCAAGCCCTCATTGTAACTATAGGGCAGCTTGTGCAGCTTCTGCTGGCGTAGCATTAAGATTAAGATCTGTCTTAAGATATCTTCGTGTGGTGGTGCCATTAGAGAATCCATTCCATTTCATCGTATGGATGTCGTAAGTGGCGGCTATAGGAAATGCCAAGAAAAGCAGATGACTTTCGATAGATGGTGGAATTCTTCCAAAATCGACGGAGAGAAGGAGTATCAAAGGTATGAAATATCTGTCACAGCAATCGTCAAACCGTTTCCCAAGCGGTGTTCAACTCAATCTCTCAATCACATCCTCGATACACGTACTGATGACGAAGAGAAGAAGATACCAATCGTGTTCATGTATATTATAATTAAATTACACCACCTGCGCAAATAACAGATGTTTTAATTTATTTCAGAGTAATTCAAAAGGTTTTAAATTGTTCGGATATAAATTTTTAAATTGTTATCTACAAACTGATAATCCACGGTAGGAATCTCCTCAAGTGTCGCATTAAACACCTTTCTAAAACAAGCACTCTCTGAGCTATAGCGAGTTAATTCATATCTGATTATTTTAACCTTCTATTATGTTGGGAATTCTTAAATTGATTCGTCGTCAATACGCTACGAAAAAAAATTAGAAGAATTTTTAAGACCTTTTTTGTTTACATACATTTTTTCTGTATTAAATAAAATGAAAGTTACTGGTGTAATTGTTTGATAGGAACAAACATGGCAAAATTAAATGTGGCTACAATAGTCCCAAGTGGAATGATATGAAGGGATTGACACTGCGTTAGAATCATACCCGTTACGGATAATTCGATCCAATATTGATGTCAAAAAGATTTACCAAAATTCAATCAAATAAAGAATTGAAGTTAATTAAATTTAACAATGCGAAGGTTAAAATTTTTATTTTTAATACAATACTACAAAATGAATAAAGTGATTTTTGGGGATTTATTTAGGATCTAGCTTATTTTAATTTCTTACCTTTGTAATATTCTCCATAAAAATAGGAGATATAAGGTAGTTCACGGAATGATGTCATGTTTGATTTAGCCTGCCTTAAGATATCTATTATTTATCCTGTAAGTTTCGCAGTACGTGAGCAACCCGGTTTCGATCCCGAACGGCACTAATGAAATTTTCAATTGTAATTTTAATTGTTGATTTACCTCGTGATCGGTAGTGAAGGAAAACATAATGAGAATTTTTTTTTATTCTCAAACACCCAATGCAGGTTGCAAATAAAAAAAATCGAAGACATGGTGTGAATTCCGCGAACATGCATAGAGGTAGGGCGAAGGATATTTCCTTGCCCTAAAACCCTGTAGGAAATGAGAGTAGGCCTGTACCCTGTACAGTTATTTATTTGTCCGACCTACGTAGAACTAACTCATATTAACTTAAAATTCTGGCAAAGGTATGAATTGAGTTTTATTAATTACAGGATTCCAATTAATTTTAACAATGTAATATTATCTGGCTCCACATTTTCATCATTAAGTCATTGCACAAATTTAATTTTATTATTGGTGTAAAAGGTAGGTATTCATTTTTTAAATTAAGCTCGTTATATGAATATTATTTCAATGTTTTCTTGGAAAGTTAATGAAAAGTAGGTACGTAACTATTAACACGTGAATTAGAGCTGATACATTAAATAAAATTGCAAAGTATCCCACAAAAAAAAATTGTGTAAGCTGTACTATAGGTTAATTATATTATGTGTTTTTGTTTAAACTAAGTTTCAATTAATATAACGACATCTCAGACTTGAAGAACAATACTTTTATTACCTCCCACTTTTTACTAAAAGATTGTTTCTTACTACGTTGGTGTAAAAAGTATATATTCTAAAACTATGAGTGTTAACTTACTTTTATGTAAATGGCAATTGTAATTTATTTTCCTTATCTTTTGTAAATTAAGCTATAGTTTTTTAATGAACAGAATTCGTTTAACCCCTGATTTCAAGTAACATCAATAATTTTTTATTTACTGATATGCCAATTAATACATAACTACAGCAAACTTACGGAATTTACGATCCTTACACTTATCTGGGCCGTAATTAGTTAAAAATTATAAAAACTACAAGAGTATAATAAAATAAAAATAATAATTTATTATCTAGACAAAAAGTAGAAGAAAAATTATCTATGTCAGGAGTGAATGAACAAGTTCATTGAAAAACAATCAAACTGAGAAAAATAGTAAAGGTTCAACCTACTTTAAAGAAAATACAAGGATTTGATTCTTTACAATTGTTGTATGGTCTACAAATAATTTTTGGGTCTCAATATTGGAGAAATTCAGGCAGTCATTTTTATTAAATAAATGGAAGAAAGTATTTTTATTAAATAAAAAGAAGAAAGAAAAAAAAGTTACTTAATTACACAAAAATAAATTATAATTTATATCTCATTTCATATTTTCTCGCGTTTCTGGTGCGTTCTACTTTAGAATTCAATAGGATCTTTATGTGTGCACCAACAAATTTAACAAAATAAATTATACGTCATTGTTAGTCATTTGTAGTAATTTCTATAGTCGTGTCCGCCACGTTAGTAACAGCAGCTACCATGAAACCTATTTTTATGCTCAAGAGTAAATTCATTTAATTACGGTAAATAATACAATCAAAAAGATTTTATAGAAAATTAACCAAATATAGTTATGATTCGTAATAATCTGTGTTTATAGTCAGTCCGTTGAGACTAGAATTTATGGTGGAAGTTTTAGATGGTCATACATTTCCAGATCTTACAACAGACATAGAAGGTAGTGGAGCTTCTTTTCATTTTTCTCTTACATATGTCTGCTGACAAATAGCAGCGACAAATAGCAGAGGCCCACGTTGTACTCAGGTTTAAACGGTAAGAGAGGCAGTGTAATTAAGGACCGTGAACCATTTCATCTTCGTACTCATTTGTCTTGAAGTTGTTTGCAGGTACTCATAAGCTGCAGTAATCACATACCATCAGTTGAACGGTTATCTCGTTTGGATATCAAGTTAATGAATACATGATAGAGCCAAGCTACAGCTATATTATGTTTGTAACACGAATAGGTTGTCTCTCTTGGGAAGGACTACGTTCTCACAGAATGCCAGCGTATAATACAGCTTAATGCAGCCGTGTTTCTTGTTGTGAATGTAGAAAACCGGAGACGCTTTTTACTGGAAACTAGGGGTTCTATATTAGTTCTCAGGGCTGTGTTTTGATTTTTAATCGAGGATATAGTAGAAGTCTTTGCCCCATATTCTATGCACACTTATTTTATAAATAAGAAATTAGATAGAAATGAAATACTTACTTGCTATAGTCCTAACAGTAGATATATAAGTAGATATTAGAATTATCAATGGGATGATAAACATAAAAACTAAAGAGATAGTAGTATAGGTCTGCTCTTGCCACCGTTCAGTATAAAAGCCGTGGGTGACACATTGATAAAATTCTTCTACAAAGGGCCCTCTTGCAACTCGAAATATTATGGCCTGAAAAAAAAACCGTAATATTGCCGGGAAATATATCGTGTAAAATTTCGGTGGTATAATTTCGCTGCGGAATATTTTTGTTAATCAATTTTAAGCTACAATGTTTTTTCATTTAAAAAATACTTTCTTTGTACACTCGTTTTCAAAAAATACAATTATAATTACTAGAATCAGCTTTTATTTTGCGACAAGTCTTTTAAAAATAGTTAGTTAAAGTTTTTTAGCTTTTGGTTGAACGTCATAGCAAAACTGTTGCAATAAAAAAGCATGAGAGAGGCCCATGTGAGCAGTTGAATGTATTATAGACATATTAGAAAAAAAATCTTGATTTAGCTTGAAAACGTGTAGTATACTTTAATTTTCTTTCAAAAATTAAAACAATTTAATGTAAGTTCTTTACCTGTGGGACACTTAAGAGGAAACTTAGAATCCAGGCAATTATTACCAATCTGGTACTCCGCGATTCAGTAGCCAAACTTTTCATTGGATATTTAACTGCTAACCAACGATCCACACCAATAAGGACCAATATGAACGTGCTCAAATAAAGTGAAAACATTTGTAAAAATTTAAACACTTTACATGCCACATTTCCAGCGTACCATTGCACTGAAAACGACCACGCAGCCTCTCCGGCCAAGCAAAATACCGTAACAAATAGATCCGCTATACTGAGTTGAAAAATGAGACGGTAAATTGCTGTCCAAGATGGCCTTGTCCGACCTCTATTTTTATTTCCTCTTTTTACACTTATAAGTGTAGCTAAATTACCGAAAAATGATAATACAGCTAGCAAAGAGAGCACGCTTGCTTTCATAATTGCGATTTTTGTCAAAGTGGGAGAATGCTCTAAGCAAATAATCATTGTGTTATTGTATGTAAAAACGATATTTGTTAAATCTTCAACGAGAGACTTGTTAAAAAGGTGAACATTTAGGCACTTTTCAATAGGCCATACACTGTGGTTCACATTATCATCGTATCCTGTGTCCAAAGTAATGTTGGTCGTATTAATAGCTTTTATGTCGAACAAAGTAATTTGATTTTCCAGTTTTGCCATCTTTAGTTATTGGTAAAATGTCCTCATTTTGTTGATTGCATTCTGTAACAAAAAAGTAATGCCATATCAATACTTATAATTTATACAAACATGTTATGGTAGTTTGCTTATATCGGTCAAATTTTATATATATATATCCTAAAAAGAGTGGATATTATCTTATCCATATCCAGAAGTTGACTATTAATAACAGGTTTAAGGACAAGAAGTTTTATTATTTTATAGCTTAGCTTAGACTTCGATATAACAAATTAGAAATAAAGTAGTCGTAAACGTGGCTACTGTTTATGAGGTCCAAAGTTTGAATCCCGGATCATGCCAAAAAGAAAACAGTCATTTCCAATTATTATACCAAGACCACAGAACATAACAAGTGGAAAAATTAAAGATTTTGTACAAGCGACTTCAATATTAATAAAATGAGAAGATCATCAATGTAGTCGAAGTCAATTAAATACGCATTATTAAGGTTAACTCAAAAACTACTGCTTACATATTGATCAAATTTATATGGGACCGAGGAGAATTTATACAAAATCGGTACACCTAGAAAAAAGTTCCGAGGTAATATACATACAAAATACGTATGTAAAAGGTTATATATATCATGTCCACTCGCTTTTTTCGTATTATAGTGTCTAAAATGTCTAAAATTTAGTGTCTAGCCTTGAAGTGTTCTTATTTTCTCGGGCGTCAGCAGTTAGTCCATATAGGGAAAGAGTGCTAAATTTGGATTAATCTTCAAACTGCCGTCAAAATAATTTCCTCAGTTTTTATAAACTTTATCAATTCTAATTTCAACCGCTCGTACTATCTCTATGCTAATGACCTTCAAATGCCCGTGCGGGCTATCATCGATGAATTCATGAGGCTGTTGCAAATTTACCCCTTTCCCCGTCCCATGAATCATACGGGTATATGAATATTTCAATTGAATTATTGTGTCTGTTTTGCGGACAGGGAAACTGTTAAATAAGAATTTAAAAACTGTTGGTGAATGGTCGAGCCGCTTTCATGTCTCTGTCAACCCAAAAAAATATCAAGAAATACTTGTGAAATGCTGTTTAAGACAAGTCAAATCTAGGCATGTCATGGACAGTACATTGAAATGGGAAATAGGAAATCAGCCACAAAGTCTTTTCCAACTTATGTTCTCTCTGTCGTCTAAAGAATTTTCTACATGTCCACGCAAAGATCATGCTTGTGCTTATTTTACCCATTATTAATTATATTAATAATAAAAAATTATATTAATTATATTAAAAATAAATAAATCAAACCACAGATATTCATAAAAATAGAAAAATTTAGTGTTGCATGTGCAAAAAATTAAATAGCAAACCACTGAGGCATTCTTTTGTGTATTACTATAATACAACTTTACAAACTGATGAACTTTTATTTAAAACTAACTTCTCAATTAAATGACAAAAAACTTCACCTCAATGTCAACACATGAGCAAAAAAACTGTACAGAGGCAAAGCTTCTAAGGAGCTGTCAATATTTTTACTGTCTATTTTGGTAGGGTTGGCACAGGAGAATAAAATTAAATAAACAAAACGTTTATCAGCTTTTTAATAGATACTTAAGATATAATATTTTATAATGATTTCTTATATTTACGCGAACATTACACATTGAATAAAACTACTTTTACGGATTTTCGCGTTTAATTATAATTTTTTAGGATGTTTTATTTAATTTATATAGTTGAAACAAAACAATCTATTAAAACCCGCGTAAAATAACACATAGCTAACGTGAAACACCAACGTTCCGGGATATATATCTCATATCTTAGATGGCAACCACCATTACATTAGATTTAAAAGACCACAAATTCTCGCGAAAGAACATCGATTCCTGCCAAGGCGGCTATTGAAATTTAATAAAAACATCCCAGTTTCCATAGAGAGTGGGGTTGGGTACTACCACCTGCTTGGGATCCTGTAATTAATAAAATTAAAACTAAACTCAAGCATACCTCTGCAAGATTTCAAGACACAGTAAGTTCATTCTGCGTAAATCGGACCAAAACAAATAATTAAAAAGCTGAAGGCTGGTTAACTCTGACATCGGGACGTCAATCACCTCAGTCCCCCGTGACCATAGGTGCTGGACGTCGGGAATTTAAAAATAAATATAATTAAACCCGACAAATCCATAAAAGTAGTTTTATTCAATATAATATTTTTTTACAAACTACGTATTCTAAATATTTTACTTTTCTTCAACAATTTGTGGTGGCTTTTAATTTAATTCTAAATTTAATATTGTTTTTATTATTAGTTGGAAAGCACTCGCATTTCATAACAAATATAAACTCTGGCACACGTTTTAATAGTTTACTACCAATATTTACAAAGTTTCTTTCGAGATCAAAATAGTTGCAAAATTTTTACTTAAGTTGTTCAACAAACGCGATAAAAGTGTCAGGAAGTATTATTGAAAATACCCGATTTAACACTATCTTTAATAAAATTAAAATAGGTTGTTCAGATCCGTACAGTTTTATTTATTCACATTTGTGGTGTTCGTGACAACATTTGCTATATAAATATCCCGATATATAGACTAAACTATTTTTTCTGGTAAATCAAATAGATAATCTTTTATTCCCACTGTTAACACAAATTATTAATTTTATTTACAAAATTAGAGGTATCTCTTGCGGCAACCTCGATAAGATTTAAATGTACGTAGGTATTAGTAAACCATATTTACACCCTTTTTATATTTCTTTTGATACGAATTATTATAATTAAGAGCTCAATGCTACTGTGTTTCGTATGGTGAGTGTAGAGAACCGGAAACCCTTTTTACTGGAAACGAGGCACTCCATCTTAGTCCTCAGGGGTGACAATGCATCTGCGTTTTGATTCTTGATCGAGGATAAATGTCTATGGGCCACAGCATCCACTTACCATCAGGTGAACTGTGTGCTCGATTTTCACCCTCATTCTATTAAAAAAATATTTAAAAAACAAAATTTGACACTTATTATTTTTTACACAACCCTGAGTTTGAGCACTGGCCGAGCCAGTTTAAAGCAGTTTCATTGTGTACGTGACGAGTCGCCACTGCTCGCGCACATACGCGCCTCAAACTTGTAGTAGTGTACCTATCACAGCGCGGTTGTATGAAGCTTTGCCTCTGTACGGTACGGTTTCTTTACTTATGTGGTATCAACTAGTGACTTTTGGTGAGCGGAAGATTATTCGCCGTCATTCTCAATATTACCGTATAAGTAAATCCAATCACATATAGTCAATGTTTACGTGATTGAAGATTTCAAATGTAAAATCTCCAATAACGTAAGCATTGACAATCGCATTTGACCGTTTCGGGGACCCTTAAAAAGGCCTTGCTATTGAGAGCCGTGGTAGATTTTGACTTCCATAAGTGCTTCAAACAAGCTTAAATTGAAAAAAATGTTTTAACTTTGTGAAATTCGTTGGAGGGGGCTAAACATACAGCAGTAAAGTTGCGAATCGCGGTAGTGATAATAATTATAACGCATAAAATATATATATATTTTACATAAAATATATATACCGATATAACAAGAATTACCAAATTCTCTGTATACAGTAATAAAAGTCTCTTTAACTGAACTATTAAACTACTTTTGCCGACAAAGCTATAGCACTAAAAATTTACTGCTTAACACATATTTCAAATGCGAGTTGCTGCGGTATTAACAGAGAGTAGGGAAAGTAAAATAAAGATAATAATCCCGAATTTGCTAGTAAAAATCAACGGTAAAACGGCGTAAATCTTATACTTTATTTACGTTTGCAGTACTACGCTTGAATATGCTTCACAGATATCCTTTTCTGCCTAAGAGTCCAACTGGGTAGGTATCGCTCTCTTACCTATTCCTGCCGCCAAACAGTAGTGCTTGCACTGTCTGAAGGGTAAAAAGATTCAGTTTAAATACAGACTGTGAGACATTCTATCTTAGTCCTTAGAGGTATCGCTTACGGCATCGCATTATATAGCCTTTTTTGTTTAAAATTGGCTGCAGGTATCCATGAACTGCAGTAGGCACTTACCATTAGATGAACTGTTCGTTCTTTCGAAGGGTGCGTTAAAAAGAACTGAAGTGATTGCTTTGCACATAGTGGATAACAAACAGTCAGTCCTTTTTTAAGCCGCTTCAAAGGCTCGGCATTAGCCGAGTGTTTGTAGGTCCACAATTCTGACGAAATTCGAAACAATAACGATTACTTTATTATCGCTTTAAGGATAGAAATAATATCCCAGAAAGTAAAAAGCGTAAGAAGGTTAACTTAAAATATGAAACAATTTAAAGTGATTGTGAAAGAATAGAATAGAATAGAATAGAATAGAAAAAACATTTATTCAGCACAGGCAGTTCATACACATGAAAGTAAAAGCACATATTGATATATATAAAAAAGGTCGCATTGTGCCGAAAAGGGGTTGGCTCAGCATGTGTTGTGTGAGTATGGCCTCACACAGCGCTGATTTTCAGCCAAGAAACCTATTCATTGGCGTCACGAACGTAGCACAGCTGTTACGTGTAGTTTAGTCCTTCGATAAAACGAAAAAAGCCTAAACCTTCTATATAATTATAACACAAAATTTAAAATAAAGCAAAAAGCAGCAAAAAAAAAAAGAAGTACAATATAAGACATTAAATATAACCTTATACATAATTGTGTGTGGTAACAACAACTATCAATTATCAATTAAAATGGATTAGTAATAGTAATAAAGCGATAAAGACTACCATAGAGTAAAAATATAAATTATAAAGATAAAGTAAGTTTAAAAATTTTAAGGGTATAAAATAATAATGTGTTATTAATTTATCATTCTCAATTTAATATTAATTGTCTTTACAAAATGTATTTAGATATTAAAATAATATATAATATTTATTACAAAAAAAGAGACCACATAATAATATAATCAAACATTACGGCGGTATTTGGCTGGAATAACTAAGATGTTATAGCTATAGTAAGCCAAT